TCTGACACATTCATATGCAAATGACTAATCTGTGAAACAAACAGGGGCGGAGACAAACCACTCAAATGTTTGGAAACACTCATTGTGTGTCAGATAGCTACTGATAACACATCCTAACATTGCTTTGTCTTGAGTTTATCTTTGAAACTTATAGACACACAGATTAAACCTGTGTTGTTGATGTTGGAAAACACTACAGAGGCTGCCATGCTTTCCTTCAGAAAATCTACATTTTAACCAACTTACATGACATTCTATGTTATGTTGACTTTATCATATGAAAGTTTATAGTGCATTTCATCAATTAATAAATAAATGTGAAAATCGTAATTTTCAACACAAATAATAGTCTCGCTACCTTAATCGATTCTTTCGTGATACGTAATCACAACATACTATTTGCTAATAACGACTAAATTATTTTGTATCAGACTTCAAGGATTCATTATACTTCATGTATGATGTTATTTCATATGATGTTATAAACCGAGGGAGGCCAAAAACCACATGAAGAAGAGCCATTACCACAGAACTTGCCCAAGCGAACCTGACCTGGAGTACAGCAGAGATGGTGGCCAAGTATAGACAGGAATGGAAGAACCTGATTGCAGCCGTATGTCCCGGTGTGGGACGAACAGGACTACAGAATGATGTTATTTCGAGATAGCATGTACGATGTCTGGATATCAATGCCATGCACCACCTCGTATGTCATATAAAAAGCGCGTATCCATAATCACATAAAATTAAAATATATTGGCATCATGCAGTGCAAGGCTACTAGTGAAACAACTCTGTCCTGTTTGTCAGATAGCGTTATGTAACTTAAGGACCTTATTTAATTCACGGTGTAAGTACTGGGAGATAATGAGATGTCTCCCAAGTCGGTCTATTCAACTGATTCTTCCATTCACTAGTATGTGAACCAACGCGAAACAATTGAACTGCTCCATGATTGATTTGCACGTATTGAACTCGTGACGCCCACGCCAGTTCAGGTTGTTGGTATAAAACTATCAACCACGCAGATGTGAGCATACACCTCGGTCTGGTCAAAGCAGCAACAACAGACGCTTCTATGCCAGCAAATCTAATATGGCAAAGTTATTACTTGATGTGTTGGTAGTTTTGGTCTTTGTTGGAATGATCTGTGCGATGGTGGTGGAAAAGGTAGGTCTAGAAAATCTGTTCACCGGGGGTAAATAAATTGAGGATACCACTCGCGGTGTAAACACCACGAAACACAAATTACTGGACAAACAGCGTCGGAGATTTCCTAGGTGGAAAAGACACGGGTGTTGGGCAGGGAAAAGGCAAACAATTATCGATGATTGTTGAATCTGTGAATCGAAGTGTACTGCGTGCCTGCATATAGGCATTTGGACCAAATGCTCAGTATTTTCGCATAATCGTATCTTATTTTACCAGTACGTGGTTAGAAGTACGTCGACCATTTTTAGTCGTTTGTCAGCCCATCCCACCTGTGGCAACTTAACAATTGCCGTATGTATTAATTCGGTGATATACTACCATAGTCTATTAACGAAGTTATGACATACGACATATAATCACCACACTCAACAAGTTTTCATTGGCATGTATTGCAAATGTCGTGTTTAAAATGACTCAATATATTATAGACATATTCGCGCTCCCTGCTCGAGAATCAGCTGTGTGTTACTCAAACTCGCACATATTCAGCGAACACTTGCGTGAACGTGCTCAGGCTGTATTCTCTGTATGAGAACGGAGGTGCAAATTGGCGTCTTCGCTGCTTCATTATGATACTTGCTTGGCCAAAGGAAACTCATTAACCTTTAAATCGGTATAATACAATGTAAATCACATTATAGGCTTGGTCCAAGGTTTTTCGTACCGCTTGCAAACTTTCAATAGGTCGCACTTGAATACACAAGAGGCACCCACCGAAGCGGGCAAGTCACGTATTTCAATACTTTACGAGGTTTGCGACAATGTATTGTCTAGATGAGTTATTAAATGCTAGACATGGTCACACATTGCACATAAGATATTTTGTGGCTTTGAAAAAATATAGATGGACAGAACTGTCAGTTGTCCCCTATAATATAATTTGTGTCGTCAGTTTTCGTAAACATAATCATTTAAAAGCAAACATTGTAATGATACTTAATTACACACACTGCAGTCAGAACCCCACAACTACAATTATATAATTTGTTCTAAATAAAATGAAAAAAAATACTGCGTTATAAGAACACGATTATAAAACATAGACTACGTCATACATCGGCAATTACTTGACAGGACATTTAACTTTTAAATGTTAGTTAAGATTAAATTAATGTTCCCTGCCTTCGCGTTGCGTTGTGTTTGGTAGCATGGGTCCCATGCCGTTTATATAGCACGTGTTAAATTCATAGTAGTTTGCTTATACGTAATTCGAACATGCTCAACGCGACGATCATTGTCTCTTAGCAGCTCATACACATTTACACGACAAGTCAGCTCGTAAATGAGATTCTATATTTCACAGTTAGAAGATAAATCTATCTATGAGTTACTATTGACTGCACAAACCGTCGTGTAAAGTAGTCCTACAGCAAGTCTCAGAAGTATTGGAACAGTTAGCAAACTCGCTCACTTACTTATTTATTCGCTCACAACTTTCGTTTTAACAAAACAGATTGACTACCGCATACAATTGTACATACTTTCAGTTCTGCAAAACCCCATAAACATATGTAAAATGCTTTTTTGTTTTCTATATTTGACAGTGACAGAATGAAGCGTAATATTCAATTTTTAGGTCATCTGCTTTTGTCAATACCAAAGTGGCTGGCGAATTAGTAAGCCATTAGTATTTAGCTGACCTAAATAGAAATCGTCTAAAAACTGTTGTCATCTTTCCTTTATTTGTCCGTCCCTGCCACCCCGACAAACCTACTCGTAAAATGGTTATAATACCGTGGTTCCTGTCCTATGCCCAGGTCAAAGGTGTCTCGATGTGGATTGTAATGACTGAGGTTGATGATTTTTTGATTTATTACCCCGACTGCATCTTTCTTCCTGGTTGCCATGACACACACATGTTTACCATTAAAATTACCGTAGTGTAAATGTCACCCAAACGCCCGAATCTCAGCACATACCTGTACATTATCGAATATAGAAATCTTCACAGCGGTGTGCCTGTACCCTCTTATTCAACGAACTTGAATATTACTGCTGTAACTGTTGTCAAACATTGCAATGCACACCCGTTAATTGACGCCGGTGGAAGAAAAAAATATAATAAAATATAATTACAATTTCAATTATTTTTTCACCCTGTTTGAACGCTGACGATCGTTTCAACTTTCTATTTTATTGTGTGTTCTTTCCTTTTTATAACGCGCAATGCTTCTCAAAGATTCGCCTCTGTTACGAATTACTAAAGTCCGAAACAAGAAAAAATCGTCGTAAATCCTATTTTTTGTCATGAGAGCAATTTCAGACCACCACATGAAGCCTTATATCAATGCTCTCAGAGTGCAACATGATGTTGTCATTATGTTCTGTTATATTATATTGTTTCTTCACGCAAACCTTATGTAGTTGTACAATTATACTATAATATCAACCCGGCACGGCATTCCCACCGCACACTGCGTGCAACTAACTTAACCTTGTACTGTGGGGTTTCTCGCACTCATTGTAGGATGTTGCATGATTGGGCGCTCCGTATAATTTCCAGTTGATTAATAATTATCGGAGGTCAATTCCAGAATTTGCTATAATCAGCGAATTGTGACAGCGCTGTCACCACGTGATTAATTGGATAACTGCTAAGTATGCAGTTGATTGATGTACATGACAACGGACGTGATGTAGTGCGTTATGATGCAATGCGCACCTGTCGTAACCAAGGCTACAGCTCTTACAGGCGCTACCAGTGAAGCCATCCTGCACCTGTCAGCTTGTACAAGTGAGGTTTCATTTGTCGCGGCACGATGTCCCCAATCCGACCCCGGCTGAACCAGTCTTTATGGCGCGTTTGCTACCCGAAGCAATACCGTGTTTAGAGTCGGAAAAGCTTCTGTTGTTCCTGCCCGCAGCACACATACTAGTATACATTATATTATCGTTATCGCAACAAGTAGCAGAATAGAGTGGAATAAATGGATTGGGCTTAACAATGCATTATGCACGAGAAGAAACCATTTTTAATGGTAGTAGGTTGATGAGTACACTAGACTATGATTTATCATATGATTTATTTTTTGTGAAACACACCAGAAATTTCGTTTTCTGTTTGTATAGTGTTTTTGATTTTCATCTAACGAACACTGTAGAATGTGCATTTTTAGTTGAGGGTAAATCATAATCCGACATGGTCTACGTTATAGAACGACAATATTAAACATATATGTTTTTGTCCATATTGCATCTTCATCACAAGTACCATCCTTATATATATAGCAGCTCCGTAGATATAGGACTAAAGCGACAGTTGAGCATACATACAAGGCAGAATTTGATATGTTGGAAAACAAGCTGCTCTCTGATTAGTCTAACTGTTAAGTGTCAGGATTGGGCAACCAATCAGGCACAGTGTTATAAGAAACTTCGCACTGACTCTAAAGTATTGGCCAAAGCAAGATTACAAGTTGTATATACAGATATCATCTTTTCTTTGCAACGTTCACTTCAAATGCCAAATTTAAACAATGTATGAATCAATATACTGATATATTTACAAGTCTCGTAACTTAAACCATTTCATTCAGACCTTAATAATGGTGTTCTTTTCACACCTATTATGCTTCAGATGAGAGTAACAATTATACAATCTCATATATATATATATTATTGTATTGTTCCTCATTTGTTCAAGACTGGGATGTCTTTCAGTTGTCTGATTAACATTTTTATTATGTTTCGCTACTTTATTTAAGGAAGGCAATTTATTAGTTTCACAACGGGTCATGCGATTATTTGTTGTAGCAACTGTGACTGTTACCACAGCAGTGACTCAAAAGTGACTATGCAAGTTAATAATAGTTTTTGTTTGTTTGTTTGGTAATGTTTTACTCCAGTCATAGTGCAAGTCTATAACTGCAATCCATGGATTTCTTTACGATGTAAACGAGATTTTCCACTGAACCATATCATTTAAATACATGCGAGCTGAGATCGTAAAATATGGTCTCTTTTTTTTTCACTCCCATGCTTTGTTCACTTACAGTCGTTGTCATCATGAAAAATAAAAACAATTCTCACTGTCCGGGGCTACGATTCGTTTCTGCATTCACTGAATATTACTCAACAATTTTAGAAATAGCGATTACCCATGATTAAGCAAAGCTTGCAACGGAGTTATTTCGATTATTTTCATTGAGCGCGGACAAAATGACGCTGGGTCACCTATAGTCAAAAGTAGTGGTAGTTTTCTACTCTTTGTGTCTTCAATCTGTTATAAAGACATTTTACTCGTGGTTATGTCCATTTTTTCACTACAGGCCATTTTGGGCAAAACAAAAACAGACTGAATCAATTATAACGATTTAAACTGAAATTGTTAAGTTTAATATACACTGCATATTTTAATGTGATCCAATACACCAAATACGTAGTATCACCATTTAGCTATTTTTAAATACTATACTAATGCTCTAACTAACACACACTGTGTAACTGGTTCCCGATCTTCGAAGCGCGAAGACCAACCAGAAACTGTCATAACGGTATATGTTAAATTATAACAGCATTTGTGTATGTCATTTTCTTGCAGAGACACGTTGATTCCATAAGTGACAACAATGATGCAAGTGAGAGAGATTTCGAAGAAATGCTGAAAGAGCTTAAGGGAGAACAACCACCCGAGAAAGGCAAAAGACCCGGGGGAAAAGAAACAATTTACGACCCACCAGACAAGAATAAATTCCCAGGAAAGAGTGATTTTGAAGAAATTGTTAAATCAGTTCTCAGTGAACAACCACCCGGGAAAGGCAAAAGACCCGGGGGAAAAGAAACAATTTACGACCCACCAGACAAGAATAAATTCCCAGGAAAGAGTGATTTTGAAGAAATTGTTAAATCATTCCCCGGAGAACAACCACCCGGGAAAGGCAAAAGACCCGGGGGAAAAGAAACAATTTACGACCCACCAGACAAGAATAAATTCCCAGGAAAGAGTGATTTTGAAGAAATTGTTAAATCATTCCTCGGTGAACAACCACCCGGGAAAGGCAAACGACCCGGGGGAAAAGAAACAATTTACGACCCACCAAACAAAAACAAATTCCCAGGAAAGAGTGATTTTGAAGAAATTGTTAAATCATTCCTCGGTGAACAACCACCCGGGAAAGGCAAAAGACCCGGGGGAAAAGAAACAATTTACGACCCACCAAACAAAAACAAATTCCCAGGAAAGAGTGATTTGGAAGAAATCGTTAAATCATTCCTCGGTGAACAACCACCCGGGAAAGGCAAAAGACCCGGAGGAAAAGAAATAATTTACGACCCACCAAACAAAAACAAATTCCCAGGAAAGAGTGATTTGGAAGAAATTGTTAAATCATTCCTCGGTGAACAACCACCCGGGAAAGGCAAAAGACCCGGAGGAAAAGAAATAATTTACGACCCACCAAACAAAAACAAATTCCCAGGAAAGAGTGATTTGGAAGAAATCGTTAAATCATTCCTCGGTGAACAACCACCCGAGAAAGGCAAACAACCCGGGCGATAGACCAAACAGAGGACAACACATCGACGACGTTGTTTCATTACTATAGTATCTCTTTCATTTCATCTAATGTAGAATATTATCACATATAATATATCTGTATTAATATCCATCTTTCAACAAATAGAACGTAAATTCCTATTCGTCTATCAATAATGTCTTAATGTCAATAATTGGTTTGTTTAATCTTCTTCATTGTCCTCATTAACTATTAAAATTTTATTTTGTCTCGTCGTTCATAGTATAAGTGTAAGAATTTAATCATATGACGACTTGCAGGCTAAATGTCTCGTCCGATTGGAAGTTGCCACACAACGACGAGAAAGCCGCTCCGAGTTCCACTCTGATTACGGGAATATTTAGCATAGGGAAACAAATTATGAGATTCTCTGTTTCATTAATATCTGATATATACCTAGTCCATTATAAGTGCATAACTATTGAGCTGAGCTGAGCTGAGCCGTGCTCAACTGAACTGAGCTGAACAAACCTGTTACATACAATTATATGTTTCTACACGTGTTTTCTTCTGTTCTGTCAATTTGTGTTCTCATAAACCGTTTAATTTACCATCATGATGTGATATTTATTCATGTTTGATTTTACAAATTCAAATCTTTATCTAACGCATTAAGTTATCTAGAAAATCAAGGTCAACCTACAGCCACACCATGAAATACAATGCTGTTCCAGTTTCCTTCCGGAGTCTTCTAAATGCTGTCGAATCACAAAGGAGATTGACTACTATGAATATATAATAAGACAATGTGAGCGGTAGACACGGCGGTTTTCAATAACGAGGGCACTAACAAACTTGAAACAATGTTTCTCATCGCAGGATGAGAGCTGGCCAGTCAACAGCATACAAGTAAGACGAGAAGAATAACGTTCACTTTCAATTTTGAGCATTATGACAGGCGCTGAAATTGTAACGGCTCTTTAATTATTAGAAATTCCATAAAATACTATCACGATACGAACTATTAAATCAGATTTATATACTGCTTAGACTACCGACTCACCACAACAACGCCCAACTTCAAAGTATTATGGCTTTCAATTCCAGGAAGCAAAAAATATCATGTTAAAAACAATGTTTAAAATTACTTTTTATCTTTGACATTAGGCTTTTTTTTAGCTTTAACTTTATAGCATTAAATTGGCTGAGTTGGTAACTTTAAGGTTATATTTAAACAAACATGTCTATATATTGCAATTCAGGAAAGGATTAGGCAAATTTACAAGTGTTTCTTTAGCTAGCTACGGAAGGCTGAATTCGTTCTCCGTCGATATTTATCAGTGATAGACCTACTGTACACGAAAAAATGCATTATGTTTATTTCAATATCTGCGCATTGAAATTGACACAGCAATCATGCTGGTTGAATATGTGTATTGTGTACTTTAAATCAAATTGAGAAAGACTTTCACATTTTGTTGATGATTAAATGCTGTTCAGAAATGCTGCCTATAACTTGTGTTTATAAAACCTAGAAATACATGTATGAACGACCCCAAACGTCAATGAGTTTTCTCTAAAATCCCCTGTCTGTGTTTATAATCATTATAATATATTGATAACAAAATCATTCTATAGTTGACTGACATTTCCGTCATTTTAATAAAAAATATTGTTATTTCTTGCATGTGTAGTGTATGTTTGGTGTAAAAATATCCAGTTTTATTTGCATACATCTTACTCCGGTCACCCGGACAACCAACTATGAAACATAAGTCTAAATTGTCAAATGTACGACCAGTTGTTAAAACAATATTTACTGGTGAATATAATTCCCGCTGTACAAATGATTCAAATTCAATTTAGGGAAGAGACCCATGTTCCAATGACGTTTTTGAACAACATGTACTTTTAGTACTTTTCCAAATCTACACAACCTACTTTATTGTGCAGTATTTTTGATATCTTATCTCATATCCTATTTCACTCGAACAAATGGGTCCAAGTCACCACAAATGAGAAATGCTAGTTTTGATAACCTAATTTTGTGGTATACACCATGCCTGTACATATAATATTTTACAGAACATTGATTCTCTGATTTTACTGTTTTAATTGCTATTTGACACAACATGAATGGAACAGAAAACTGAGTATATAAATTAGCCTTCTCTGGCCTTCAATAACGTATTAAATTTGGTAAAGTCATATAACACTGGGATAATAAATATGAACGTATACGGGTGTGAATTGAATCCGGTATATGTATGATTACACATTCCGATTTGTTCCAAGAGTTTTGCACATAACATTATTAGATTTTGTAAAGATACATTACACTTTTAACTTTAGACTCATGCAAATATTAGTTCTAGCCTGACACGGTCGGCGATACTTATTGCTCCCTCACCTGCAGATTCACTCGTTCACAGACTACGCAGCACACAATGATATAATTTGTAACGGTGAGTGCGATATGGCCGACCACGTCACGCTGCATTAGTTGTTAACAACTGTATTTAACGGATCTATCTTGGTAACGCAATTAAAAGTATTATATACATATTTTCTCTTTTCTCAATTTTAAAATAGGTAACTTATTTTACGTGATGAGCAAGTCTGTAGCCGGATAATGTAATGTTATGGATACATCACAAAACTCAACTCAGTTTAACGCCAATCAATAATATGACTGTTATTTTACCATGAACACAAACTTTGTATAACATGCATTTGACAGATACTAGTATATAGCTTTTCAGCGTCGAGATACAGAAGATATAGAATAAACACATTTTTGGGAACATCCATACTTGTTTCAAATTGGACTCAGGGTGGCGCTGTTTGTGAAAGTACCTTAGTCTTGCCCATGATAAATTCATCCTACAATATGCTGCATAGAAACACATTTCCACATATATAGGTAACATTTCTGTGAATACAATCATGATTCAGTTACGAAACATTTTCTTCTAATGTTACTTTTTCAAATCCCTACTTCCAAGAAAAGCATGCAGCACTCATGTTTTGCAGTCCTCTGTAACTAATCAATGGACAATAAAGTAATATATTTTGATTGTTGACAGACATTTGAGAACTATTTGTATGAAGAAAGTTAGCTTATCCTTACTTTGATAGTGTTTTTCGGTCACGGCACTGAAACACAAGATGTTCATAATTTTAAAAAGCTCACTCAGTACATTGACGTGAGCCTGTCGAACGAACATTGTCATATAATCGTATACTGTGTATGCTTGGATAGATGTGATGTTAGTTAATACCTCTGTAATAAATTATCTGTAATCTTGTTTAAAGGGCGGTAGGCGACATTTGTGTTGTTGAACATTGATTTTCCCACAATCCAGTGCGATTTTCTAATGAAATCACAAATTTTGCCCTGATTACCATTTACACTAATTAGCCCCAGCGACTCCTTCCATACCTCCAATCGCCAAAAAACAAACAAACAAACAACCAATTAAAGTTTGGTAACCTCTCAGTCAAAATCAAAATCTTTGTTTTTGCGTGACGCGATGCCCACTGCCCTTTAATTTGCTATGGTTTTGTTCTTTGAACAGGGCACCCCCTAGAGTTAAGTTTTTATTTATCAAGAGTTTTCCCGTACAATTTCCGCAGCGGGCTTGTTCAACACCAGTCAGCCATATTGCTGTTCCGTCCACGTTTGTAGGAGGGTGAAATTACAGGCGTTTTCTGAATTTGAAAACACACAAGTCTTGTTTATTATGTAGGATATTTTCAAGCCAGTTCTAATAGGTCTAAGTAGCCTAACATTATTACAAACACACAGAATGATAAATACATTGATTAGTGACGATATTATGTTGTACACTCAATTATATATTGTAATGACATGCCAATATTTCAGTTATAATCATACAAGAGTGGACAAGCACAAGTATTTGTTGATGAATTGTGATGAAATGTTT